AGCCAAAAAACAAAAATTTGATAAAAATTCACCAACCTGCGGAAAAATTCCAGTTTCTTTACTTTGAGATTATTTTGACGAGAGCCTTATTTCACCACGCTGCCTCACATTTTGTCCAAATTCCAATTCTTAATTTTGACAGAAAAAAGCAAGGGAAAAAACCCCCCAACTTAATATTGGTACTAGATCTATATATTGTTTAAAAGAATGAACGTTTTTTTTCTCTCTCTTGTAAAATTTGGCTTTCTGGGCTTCAGTACATTTTAGCGGCTTTTAAGATTTCGAAAACATTTATAGATTTTTTTTTCATCGCTGGCTTCCCGAACTGCCATGTCAAGTTTCATGTGCATAGGTAAATTAATTAATGAGCTAGAATTTTTTTTAATGCAGACAGGCAAAAGTGAGCAAGCTACATAGGTAAATTAATTAATGAGCTACAATTTTTTAAATGCAGACAGGCAAAGTGAACAAGCTACATAAGTAAATTAATTAATGAGCTAGATTTTTTTCAGTGCGTGCCGGCGAAAGTGATCAAGCTATTATAACAAATAGCACGTCCAACACGATTTCCGGCATTTGTGCCGCAGAGGGGCAAAATCCGGATAAATATCCGGATAATCGGATAATCCTCAATAAAACATTATCTGAATTCAGACTCTTAACTCTCTTTCCTGACCCGTCTGCTGAGCTGGGTGCACCCATTTGTTGAAGTTATGCTAACCCGTTTGTCAAAGCGGTTCATGACATATTATTTGCAGAAGAGGGGCGCTTACATGTTATCCGAATTTTGTTAAAGCGACTCATTGCCAAGCTGTACATTAAAATTTGTGCCGCAGAGGGGTTCAAAGGTCAGTGCTCTTTAAAGTTGACACGATTCACATGAAATGGACACAGCAATTAAATCCACGCTGCCGTCAGTTGTACGTGATGAGGTTTTCTCTGTGTGGAGACTTTAGAGGCACCCTGTGGTCTTCCTTATCCTGTCTGTTTAACGCAAAGGCTAGCTATTTGGATCCTTGGGTTTTTTTTTTTTCAGTGGTTTATTTTAAAACGATTTATATTATTTTTTGTTACCTGTGTAAGTATAGCAGTATTTCATCTACAACTGGGAATTTTTTCTCACAAGGAAAGGTATTTTATCACATTTCAGAATCTCATTTCTCAAAGCTACTCATGGAGAAAAATTTTGTTTGTTCATTTCTTTTTTTTTTTTTTTTTAAATGTTTTTAATTACTGAAAGCGCATTGGTTGTATTCTCTGTTCATGAAATTGAAATGTTTTTCCCAACATAATATTTATATGAAGAGATTTTCAAAAATATGTGTCTGTCTCTCCTGTAGTTGTTCTCAGTTGATAACTACTACTACTGCTACTGATGCTTATATATGGGAACATTGTTCTGTTTATGGTGCAAATAGGATCATATTGTTTCGAAAGCACCGTAAAACTACAATACGGACTATAATTCCTCTGTAATTCTGTTGATGGAATTATAAGCTCTTATTTCCAGGGACAAGGCTTGTTTTATGTGTGGACTGAACTATAGGGTTTTGTATCAAAACTGAGTTTGTGGTTCTGCGTTATATTAACTGCATTGTTTGTGTACATTCTTTATTGTACTTTACATGCTGAAATGTCTTATGTGAGGCATTGTGTTATTGTACTCTACATGCTGAAATGTCTTATGTGAGGCATCGTGGTGAAATTGGGCGCTCGTCCAAAAAATAAAATCAAAGAAATCAGAATGTTTTTGGCCGAAGGATTTTTTTTTTTTCATTTTCGGTTTCCAAGGACTCTTAGGCTATGGAAGTTACCAAACTTTGGCCGCCATTTTCTCGCTTATTTCACCTCTTGAACAAGATTACCCCGGCCTCCTTCAATCGCAAATCTTTCAACTTCTATAAACGTAGATGGATATCAATTTTTTTTTCACCAAAAGGGAGGCAAATGAAACGGCTTTATGATGATGCCAATATCCCCTTACCCCCAAAACTAACGAGCGCCTGATTCCCCCCACGTGGTGACACATACTTACGAGTATTTTCTGTTTGTCCGAAGCTTAATGTGTTGTGATGTAGACAGTGTCAATGAAGGAGTAAAATATCTACACTTACTTTATGCAAAACGTGTCGGTGGGTGGTTTGTGGATGCTCTGGCGTGGCCTGCTCACCTTCTTTCCTCTCAAACATCTAACATCCATATCATATATACATTATATATACAGTATATATA